AGTGCAGTGCTCTACCAACTGAGCTAACAAGCCAACTGGGAGCTGGTCATTTTGTTGGTTCATAATAAAACTGTGAAGTGATGAATGAATAACTTTGAAGATATGAATATTATAATTACTGGTATGTGAACTGCAGATTGATAATTTAAAATGAATATGATAGTGATCTTTACATAGGCCTGAGGATATAGAGGAATAATTCATGGTAATCACTAAAGATGAAAGTAAAATGTTTGAAATATAAAAGGTGACTCAAGATTTAATTTTTGAAAGCATTTGATAGGCTACCATAAAGTCCCTGAATTAAGAAAATTTTGCATTACTTTTTTGTATCAAAAATGAAACAAAAAAATGGCAGGTCATTGTATACTTGAGATGTTTTTAGTGTTTAGTAAACCACTCTGATGCATCAGACATCTGTTTGTTTCTGTGGCATGAAATTGTGTTGAAAGTATCTTGTAATTTGTTCAAGTCTTATGAAATTATTTCAACTAGTTCCTTATGTAACTGCATTGTTCAAGGGGAAAGTAATCTGTAATTTAACTCTGATGAAGGGGTAATGCTCTCAACATCAGGTTGAGAAACTCTTTATGGTGGCCAGTTTACTTGATCAACTTGGTTGATTAGATCAAATTATCATGTAATTATACCATTTTGATCTAGTTGGTTTAAGTATTTGTGATGTTCTTTTTTTTTTAATAGACTGTCTTACCAATAATGAATGATTACACTGAAGTAGAAACTTGTGTTGAGGTGAGCATCTGGCAGTTGCAAAAGTTAAATTATTCACTTGAGATACTTAAATGAGTCATTACGATGGTAGGTTAAAGACAAACCTTATGAAAAATGTGGCAATTGTGTTTTGTACTTCAGTGCTCAGCAAAGGATCTGAAAAATATATCTGAGATGTTTTACTATGCACAGAAGGCAGTCCTCCATCCTACTGCTCCTCTCTTCTCTGCTGAAACCAAGGAGGTCCGTATCAACAGTAGGTTCCTCCTAAAAATGATTCATTTATAATTGAACAAAGTACTTTTTAAACAAGCATTGAATACTCAGAAGATAATTATGATGAATAAGTAAGAAATCTGAAAGAAAGGATGAATAAGTAAGAAATCTGAAAAAAGGATGAATAAGAGTAGTTATGTGGTATATTTTTTAACCTTTGGATTGTGAGAATAGCCATGTGAAAAATTGTGTGGATCTGCATCAATCTACTTTTTTCTGCCAATTATTAAGAGACAGTTGTTCATTTTTGTTGTCTTGTTTGTTGCAGTTAAAACCATTATGCCAGGCTGCTCTCACAAGAGTTTTTAAGGTACCTTTATGATTTCCTCTGTATAAATTTAAATTTATAATATTTTTGTCTTTAATAGGCAATTAAAAAGAAATGACACTTACAAAACTTATTCCTTCTTTCATTTTGTAGATATCAGATAAGGATAATGATGGCTTACTGAGTGACAATGAATTGAATGAGTTCCAGGTTAGTTAGCCCTGATTGGTTTAAAACTTATTGTGTGTTGCACTGATAAAGCCACAGAAAGTTGAGGTTTATTTTTTAATAGCAATAGAACACACTTTCTATCAGTTTAGTGGTGTTAATAGCCCTCTTATGAGAACACTTAAAAAAGTTTTTCTGTGTGGCCCTACAACTTTTTTGAACTATAAGGTCTGTCAATCAAAGAGCCACCCTGTGGATGTCACTATGATCATCACTTCTCTTTGTTTTTATTATCATAAACATCTGATTGAAGCCAGAGGATGGGAACATGGGCTTTTACCATTTTTTTTTTAACCATTGTATTGGTCTTAATCCTCTCTCTGTTACAATTTATCCATAGAATCGATGTTTCAATACCCCTCTGCAAGGACAAGGTTTACAAGATGTTAAAAATGTAGTCAGGAAGAATGTCGAGGGAGGATTACAAGATGGTGGACTTACATTAAAAGGTAACACACATAAAGTGGTCCAGAGTTTTTTCCTTAGACTAACCCTCATGTTCTTATACAATTGTAGACGCTTTTGCCTACAACATGAACCCAAACATCTCATAGTGAGCATTTCTACCCAGACATGGTCCATAACATTAGCTTTGGGTACCATTTGACAATATTCACCACACTTTCAATCAATAATTGTTAAGCATTTTTTGTAGGTTTCCTGTTTCTTCACACACTCTTTATCCAGAGGGGGAGACATGAAACAACATGGACTGTTCTCAGAAAGTTCGGATATGGTGATGATCTTAAGCTCAGACCTGATTATTTGTGTCTTACGTAAGTTGACATGAATTTGTTAGATTGTATTAGGTAATGACTAGTTTTCCCTCAGCAGTGGTAACAGCAAAAGGCTTGAGAGAATTGGGTAATAAATTAAATGATATTTTCACAAAGAACTCAATTAGTTGTGAATTCCAGAGAAATCAAGCTTTCCAAATATTTGATATTGTTACAGGATTGACATGGGGGCAGATCAAACAGTGGAATTATCAGATGCAGGATATCAGTTTCTTATTGACCTCTTCCAGAGACATGACAAGGTGTGTATGAATTCCACTGAGAGTTTGCAAGGCATGATTGTACAGGTAAAGGGAGACAGTATAATACTGTGTAAAGATAAATTATGATAAGAATTGGGACTCACTGGAGTTGAATTTTGCTTGATGTATTGAAAAAAACACTAGGCAACTAATATTTAATTTCATGATTTCTGTTGCCTATGGACCAAACTTGCTCATGTCACTGTAGATTGCTGAAAATCAAGGAACATCTATTTCCAGTGATTATTATGGGTTGTTTAAAGATAGAGCCCCTCACAATGACCATGATTCCAGGATTAACTAACACCTTTATTTGTCTCTAGGATGAAGATGAAGCCCTTTCTCCTGAGGAACTTCAAGTGAGTTGAGGAAAATAATAATGATGAGAACAAATTGAGACAGTTTTTAAAAATGTAATATTCATAATATGGTAGAAAAAGTTTCCAAATGTCAGATTGTTTTCTGTTTTCTGCTTTAGGCACTCTTTGGTACCTGCCCGACAATGCCTTGGGGTGAAGATGTTCTTAGCTCTGTTGAAACTAATGCCAATGGATGGATAACTCTCCAAGGATTTCTAGCTCAGTGGGCGTAAGTGTTACTCTGAATTCCTCTATTCAACCAAATGTTTAAAAAAAGGGATAAACTGTGAGGCAAATATATGAAGAAAGAAGCAGCTTGACATGGTTAGTTTGTGCTTTGATGCTGTGAGACAGAGACAAACATCAAGGAAGCCACGGGGGATGTCACTTATCTGTTGACTGGGAAACAAATGAACAAGGCTAAATGCTGATATTCATTTTGTTTGCATTTTTCATTCACTGGGGTGAATTTTTAAAAATTTTGAACTTTTTATGCATCAATAATGATGACTATTCTGTTTTTAAAAAAAAACCTACCAGACAGTCTACCAATTAATGAAGAGCACAAAAAAAAAATTTACTTCAGCGAATCTCTTATTTTCTGTCATCATTTTTTTTTTAACAAACTTGCAATTTTTGCATTTCCCTGAGGAATATTTTTTCCTTATCATTTGCAGGCTAACGACTTTCTTGGATTACACTAGAATGTTAGCATATTTAGCATTTTTTGGTTACATTCATCAGGAAATTGAAGCTTCCCTTTCTACCGCAATAACAGGTAAAATAAAAAACACACGCTGCCTCACAAAGCATATACTTTACTCAGCTAGTGAGAAATATTAAAGTAATTTTTCATATATCTGGAAGTGAAAAGTGTTGTCAGTCAAGGGCATTCTTGCGTCAACATAAGTGTAATTTTTTAACCAATTTTCCTTTTTAAACATCCATGATTTCAGTTGATGTTTAGATGAATAAAAATAAAGCTGTATTTACTTTAAAACTGAACAAATCAAAAAGTTTAACAATAACCCTCTGACTCCATGTTGTCTACAAACAACCAAGGAACAAAAGTAACTGATTTTAATATCAGCCCTGAATCACACATTAATATCACGAGAGTAAATAAAATGATCACCAATTAAAGAAGCTGTTGATTGTGAAAAAAAATTCTCCTTGTCACAGAGAACAGTCTGCCTGCTGATATCAAGGTGTAAAGGATTAAAGAAACTGTTTTGACTCCAGAATGATATTAAGGTTACTAATAGACATTGTCAGAAGCACTTAACTAAAACCCATTTGACCCTGAAGTATTACTTATAATTATGTCATCCTGCTGCTTTGTAGACAGAAAATTAACTCAACTTGATAGTCTACTAACTAATGTTTTCTTGATTTTTTTTCCATCTATCTCTTCCAGTCTGTTCCCCTCTTCCTTTTACTCTGGTCTCTTCTGTCTCTCGCCTCATTCAGATGCGAAAAAAGTTACGACTTTTACCTTCCTCTTACTCTCAATGGAGCCAAGCAAAAACTCAACTGGGTATTTACTACTTGTCAAAAACGTTTGATCCGGAAGTAAATTTTGTTGTAAATTCAATAACCTTAAAACATTTAAAAAACTGATTTAAGTGTGATTATCAGTCAAGTAATCTATTTACTATTTGAGGTGATAATGGCAAGAGTTGAGAAACTTGAAAAAAACACACTTTGATATCGGTTCTGTTCTTTTCATTCCTGTTTCTTTACTTTTCTTTTCCTTTCATCCACTTTGCTTATTTCTTTTTTATTTCTTCTGTTCTTCATAAGTTTTGTGTATGCTGAACAATTATTGATTTCTGTTAATTTTAATTTGATTTTGCTTTCAATTATCCGTTCATTTATTCATCTGTTTCATTATTATTTTGTTTCATGTTATTTGTGCGTGCTAACTGATCTCCCTATATTAATACATGTACAACAAGTGAAATGACAGAGAGTGCTGAGTTGTGGTAAAGACTGTGATCAAGTTTTCTCTTGTTACACAGTTTCGTGCAAGTAATCATAATATGTGTAATTGAAATTCCTAACCGCTCTTAAGCACATGCGAACAGTACTTTTAATTTATTCATTTCCTCTTATCCAAGTTACTCGGAGTAAAGCTGTTGACCTACAGAAGAAACAGACATCTCGCTCTGTATTTCAGTGTTACGTATTTGGACCACCAGGCGTTGGAAAGGTACCACCCTGTTGAGTTAAATTTTACAGCAGTAATTGTATCGTCGAACAAACGGCTGTAGAATAACTCTAAAATTATCACCACTAATCGACGTTACCATCAGCGCCTTTGTTTGGAGGCTTGGCATATTAACTCCGCCCACACTCCTTTAAATCGTGACGATGGCGGCTTGCTTCCTGACGCCTATTCACACCTCGTCAGAAAAAAGGCAGCTAATTAGTGATCATATAAAAGGATCTCTTGTTGCAGCGTTTAGATCACCCCTGATGAAGGCACCAGACAGGAGTGTTGAAACGTTGGGTCTATAAATTGTAACTTCTTCGGTTACATTCATTAAATCTGTAAACCAGAGTAGCATCAAACCATGTCTGGCCGTTACGGTTGTTTGCGCGCGTCGCTGAGAATACGGTGATTTTTCGTGATGCTTCATCTTCATCAGATTTTTTTGTTTTTATTTCTACAGACGTCCTTCCTTCAAGCATTTTTAGGGCGAACCCTTGAGGTGAGGGTGCCATGAATTTCCATTCCTTCCCTTCCATTAACTTGCAGAAACACTCAGACTACATTTACAGACACCAAGGACAAGTCATGCATTAAGTGTTCTTGTTACCAGGCCTTGGCAAACCGTCAGGTGGAGCCCGGCTTGTCTCGGTTGATGCAATACTGGGATGAAAGTCTTCTCAGTAAACAAACACAGAATGCAGCTCAGTGACGGAAGCTGACCATCACTTTCATGTAGCGTCTCTTAAAGGTGTCTGCGCTGTTAAGAGACTCGCCCCTTGTTTATGGTAATCTTTCCACTCTGGAAAACTTCACTAAGTGCTATAGGAATAAACGAAAAAAAAGTCATTTATGCTTCTTGCAGTTTCTTTCATATCCTACAATTCCCACCACCAAATTATCTTTGTTTCTTTTTATTCTTAGCCTGGCGAATCAGAAAAGGAATTGTCGAATTATGCCATTAATCTACTAGAGGTGAACAGACAAGAAAAATACCTAGTGGTGAGTAGAAGGACTGAACTTCTTTAAAATTGCGTTATATCGGCACACTCGAGTAGATATGGTGTTGTCTAAGCGTCAGACGGACGAGTTCCCTTTTTGTGAATATGGTTGACTATTATTGTTGTCACTCTCAGTGTCTTTATCACGAATTGATTTTTAATTCGTGAAAACAATTTGTAGATCTCCTTTGTAAGGGCGAAATATTTCCAACGGATTGATGGCCGTCCTCCTCCCAGCAGGTGCCCAATAGTCATTTTTTCATGATCAGCCGCTTTGATAAACATATTTTCTATGGCAGTTTGTTTCAAGTTTATTCGCTGATATTTCTGATTTCATTTCTTTTTTATTTACTTCAGTTACGTGAAATCGAATGGGAAAATTCTGGATTTCTGTTGCACGACAGACGATGTGATGTGGCCTGTTTTCTTTATGACTCGTCGGATCCTGCTTCGTTTACACAAGTGGTACAACTGCGAGAGGTAATAACTATAGCTTGGTGCTAATAATGTAACACTCCAGAGTTACTGTGGATTTGCCGCTTCCAGTAACTGAAGTGCAAAAAATATTACAAACATGCAAAAGGCTTCATTTTGTACTCGGGGGTCTTATTCAGTTTTTCACGTAAAATGACAATGTCTAGGCATCGAATTAATTCATATTGTGATATTTTCTAGAAAACTGGGTACGTATTTGTCGGTAGAATCTGATATGTTAGTCTTAATAGGTTTCGGTGTCCTTAGTGACCTGATGCAAGTTTCATGAGGAAGTAAATATTTACCGCCATGGATACTTGGTGCGTAATACAGGTCTGTAGTACTACTGAGGAGCGTCTTACAAAGGGTGTAAAACAAAAGTCAAAAACTTAGTAAGATTATGACTACGATTTATCTTTGTGTGTTTCCAGAAACTTCCCAAAACAGTTCCTTGTATGTTAGTTGCTGGCAAAAGTGAAGGCGTTGCAGCTAAACAGGTAATAATTTCCAGAATTTTCTTTCTGTAAAGAAATTTGATCAGAAGTGGGATACAGGAAATAAATCACAATTGATGTGTGAGTATCAAGGCTGACACATGGTGTATTGTATTTTTTCGTAGGATTTTGAAATGCAGCCGTCTTTGTACTGCTCGTTAAACAAGTTACCGCCTCCTCAGGTTAGTTATCATTTGGATTTCAAGTGAAAGCTAACAATTGAAACTGTTCATGTGGAATTGTCTTCTCTTGACTTACTTTTACAAATCTTTTAGTTTTGAACAACTATTAGGAAGACTTTGTGAGCCATCGAGAAAGCTGTAAGAATAGCAATGAGCATCTTTGAAGAAAAATTAAAAATTTTCAAATTAAAAATTTTCAAATTAGCCTAACATTAACAACTGTTTTTGTTTGTGTTCATTTTGCAGCCATTTTCATCCCTTAACAGACCAGACATGCACAGAGCTATCTACGACAGCCTCGCCCAAATGGCCGTTTATCCGTAAGTAAAGTGGATCATATGCCAAGGGCAGTTGTAAAAGGGGAGCAAAACTCTTAAGTCATGATTTGCTAACTTGGCTGTAGTAGTTCTAGTAGACTTGACCGGTTCGTCAAGTATGGTAATAGGGTTTTAAAAATAAAGGTAAATACAAAGAAACATGGCAGTCCCCGAATTCTCAGTTAGCAGGGAAAGATCATAACATGTCGTAACATGCAGGCCAACCTGGAGATGAGGTAACCGACATCTCCATTGTCTGTGTTAGTTTCTCGGTTGTTTGATAGAAAATGGACTGAATTCTCGTTTCCTTCCTCGCTCGCATTGCTTCTTCGCTCGTCTTTACAAAATGACTGCCTGGGAGAGGCAAAGATCTTGAAATACCTAGCGTTGTTGTTTTTTGTTTCGTAGGCACCTCTGCGGCCCTAATGCAGACAGTGTGACGTCATATTGGATTATGGCAGGCTTTACAGCCGCGCTCGTAGCAACCGCTGGAATAGTGGTGTTCAGATACTTGAAAAAGGGAGGTTCGACCACGTGACAAGAAACCAAGCGTATTAGGAATATATACTAACAAGGCGTTTATTTTGCCTTTGTATTGAACCACGGAGTTCAAAATGTAAAGAGGTTCTAAATTGAAAAACTATAAGCCAAATGTGGAAACAAGAGGATCAATCATAACAAAGTGGACATATTTTTATTTTCAATGGAATTGTAAAAGTTTCCTTTTTACCCATTATTGTAGTAATGTAGGAGTTTGTGATGGGAACAATTTTTGTGAATCTCGATCTTTAGCTCGGTTAATTCTCGTATTTGAAACAAAAACTAGGATTGTTTGAATTTGTTTTTTCCTTGCGGACAAGTTTCATTAAGGAGTTCCTCCTTTGTCCGTAGCTGTGTAATATCGTCTAACAACGTTTAAATACCTGTTGTCCAGAAACTTTTAAAATTTAAACATGGAAATATTTTATTTTGTTTTGGCTTGATAATGTGGGGAGTTTTGTGACGGAACACGTAGAAATGTTCAGTTCTCGCTTTCACAATCTCATGTCCTCGCAGATCAGATAAGTAATTCTCTCTTTTAGCTGTTACACATACCTTGGTAAGTCATACGAGAATCTGGTGTTATAACAAAATTACACCCTTAAGCTAGCAAGTTTGAAATGTATCGAAATTGCAAAATGTCAACACTCATTTTTTTCGTGGAGTCTAATGTTTTTTAAACCGCTTTGTTTGCTTTACCTCGTACAGTTCATGAAGCACGAAATATGTATCTATAATATTTCTACTGTTCCGTTACTTTGTAAGTGATGATCATTCATAAATATTCCATAGAGTCCTAAATCAAACTCTTTTTTTCTAAAACTTTCTCCAAACTTTTCTTGCAAGGCGGCGTAGTTTTGCAGAATTAGTGCTGAACACGGCGTCTGTAGCAAAGCCTTAAGGTAACATTGCCTCCACTTTGTCGTCTCAGGCCATGAAAGATGGTTCACTACCACTTGATCAAATATTTTCTTCTCGCAGTTCTTGTGAATATCAAAAGCACATTTTTCAGGAAGCTGTTGTATTTCTAAACGAGAAAAGAAAATTTCAGAAGCACGAAAATTGAAAGGCAAACTCGGAAGGAGAAACGTGGTTTTCTTGCTCCCAAGCCTGAATTATACAATAGAATCGATAGTTCACGTTTGGTCGCAGGCTAAATTATCTATCACGAGCTAGACCCAGTCTACCTGTATTTCATTCAAACATATCGATCGCTGAATCGACCATGGGATTCGTAACAAGACATGAAACAATGTCTTTCAATGTCCCCGCCATTGAACTAGCTTAGATCAAAGGATCGACAAGAGGACGCCCCTGTGCCTGAACAATGATAAAAACAAACAAACAAATGATTAAACGAAGTGAAACACATACCTGTAGGATACTCCTTAGACAGCTTCTGTGCAGCAGCTGAAATATAACAGAAAACATTGTCTGATATCCAAGTCTTTTTAAACTTTATGCAAACGCTGGCTGTAGAATGAGAACTTGTCCTACTTCTTTGAACGCGCCGGACAGGCAAGAACATGAAGTTACGGGTGAAAAAATGGATTTTTTCAAGGTTTTACTCACCGGAGTTCTGAATAGAGTCCTGTAGCTTTTGATAGTCAAGGTCAGGACACATCAGTACTTTATCCACTGTTGCAGACTTGAGGAGAAGAAATCGATCCTGATCTAACAGGTCTCCTGAGCCTTCGCTTTTTTCAAAACATGTTATCGTTTTCTGTATCAAGAGGGACAAGGAAAGTTCTGAAAGCAATATTAATTGTAGATTGAGAGAATTCTCTCACAAATTGAAAATATTGGTAAAATAAAGTAGAGCAGGGTCTGTGAAGAGGGAAAATTTCTGTACATATACCCCCCTCTGATATGGAAAAGTAATTACGATTGATGGTAGGGCATTCCCCATAGGATCCTAACTTCCTATGCCTGTAGGACCCAGCCCACCCCACCCAGCCCCCTTTCTCCCCCCCATTAAAGAAAAAATATCAGAAACTTACAGACTTGTCCGATATTTTAAAAACTGATTTGGTAGATTTTGTTATGTTGTTACAAATTATATTTTTGAACTGTTAACCGGCTATAACCTTTTCCTTAGTTTTCGTGAGACTAATTATCTTCGTTTACGTTATTCTACGATCTGCCGAGCATAATCAACGTTTATGAACAAGTTACCGTATAATCGACCTCAATCGGGCAACAGTAACAACTCACTCTTCAGAATAAGCCATCGAGAAAAGTACATAGCAAATGTTTCTAAGGTGTATATCAATTTTGACGGCATCTAGTAAAAATAAACCTATTTTTTTTCTTGTTTTTTTTTTTTTATCTAAACAATCAAGTACTTAACGACAATCAAAATATACAGGACGGAACTGCTCGTTGATGCCGTAGAAGTCTTCGATTGACTTCGATATGGTCTGATATCCTTTTCAGGCCAGCTTCTACATCAAACCCGAGAGATTACCTGTTTTATTTCGCAAGCTGTATCAGGAAATGGAGGTTCGCCTAAGTCTACCATCAACCGATACTGGATACTGTTACAGTCCTTGATAATGTAAGTCTCTGATTTAGACGTATCAACTGTTGAATAAGCCACATCAAGGAAAAAACTACAAAGTGAGGTTAGCACTGGAAATAACAGAGCAGAATTTGGGCTGACCATCATCTCCGATTCTTTGACTGACTTACAGTTCGTGGGGATTCCTGTATATGCAAGGTTTACTTGTTCAGTCAAGAGTGTCATAACACCTGTTCAGTGATTATTACAAGAAAAATAGAACACCGGTAAATTTCTTGTTGAAGAATACCTCTTCAGATGATGAATGTAATAAAGATCGTGTAATGATGCTTACAGCTGTCAGCAAGATGTTTAGTGCTCAAGAAATTGAATTTCAACAGTGCATAGCATGGAAAACGCCAGTGCCTAAATGAGGCGGTGAAGAAAAACTCTTTGGCCTTCTGGCATACCCTCGACGGCTTTTTGACAGAAAACGATACACGCACAGGATTCTTTGGCGCGTTGGTAAACGAATTTGAAGTTGGAAAATTTCCTGCTCTCTAACGGCTTAGACTCAGTGATCTGACTCTCCAGAAAAATTAGGTGCTAGAATCCGAGTTTGGCTCTAAAGATAACTGTGAGGTAAAAAGCCGTTAGACCATTTAACGACCTCACTGTTTTGTTAAAACAACGGTCCAACTTGACTTACTAAATGAAATAAAGGGAATAAGTTTCTTAAGAAACTGTGGTGCTGCGTTGGTGGGAGAGTATAACAGGGTAATTTAGTTTTATCAACCGAGTTGTAAACGTAAATTGGCCACCATAAAGGGTTTAAAGGCTGAACAGGGGCTAGCGCTCGAAACGTCAGCCTTTAAACTCTTTAAGGTTGCCAATTTACGTTTTCAACTCAGTTGATAACACTAACTCACCCTTAGTAAATGAAATGATTGCGATGTGCAGGCCCACTTCGCACAAACTTGCTTACAGTGTAATCCTACAGGTCTGAGACTTAACAAAGATGTTACCTTGTTCAGGTTATTGAGCTTCAGGTTATTGAGCTTCAGTTAATCCCGTAAAACCTCATTAGTTGACCCAGTGTGTTGACTTTCCCACCAACCAAACAGTTTCTGTATATGCAATTTTGTGTAAGTAATTAATAAGTTCATAGATTTGAAAGGGGGCAAACCAGTCCTGCAAAGGCTTTGTGCTCCAGCCAAAGCAGAGAGTATTAATTATACCAACACTGCAAAGTGGATGCCCAGGGCATGTGCAGCTCTAAACACACTCCTAGAAGGTGTCTCATAACCACCTTTCACCGCAAGGGATTAATTGTGTAGTAATCTGAGCATCAGCTTTGCAGGGGAACAAGAAAATTTCCATCAGTGAGAACTGCAACATATACAACCAAGTGAATCCAAAAAAAGGCTTTACACAGAATTTTTCTCTGTTTATTTATAACGATTTCAGTCAGTAGAAAAACCCAAGAAGTTTTCCACCAGTGTGCTTTCTTCTGGCTTCTTCGTGATCCATGATGCCACTCGATGTGGTGATCACAAGGTATCTGCAACAACAATGTTGGCATTAAATTTAAAAAAGGCAACTATTTTATGAACAAGTACTCTTGCTGTGTCATCATCTAAGAAATAAGAAACAAATCTTTTCTCTTGCCCACTTGCAGAATCAGTCAGTGTCTCCAGTGGGCCATATCCTCGCTAAACTCACCTAGAGAGTCACACTAGGAAATGGATTGCTGCTTAAAACGATTTACCATTTGATGTCACTGGCAAATTATTGAAGGAGCATAAACAAAGCTTCATTTCAAACCATGTAAATTCCATCTTTGATTCCCGGCCTAGTTGTTTGAAAGGGGGGAAAAACAACCATCCATGCAAATTGCTATCCAACAACAAAAACTACTGGGACATCAAGTGGATTGTAATTTAAAGGGTGGCTGGCACTATTGGCCCTTCAGATACATGGTTCTAAACCTAATGCAATACTGCTGAAGACTTCCATTTAATCTGAAATACTTTCATCTTAGCAATACTAATACTTACCCAAACTGTCTTGATGGTAGGAGATTGCTTGCCCACTGTTCAATGTCGTGAACTTTCAAGTCATAGCGAGGACTTATGACACCACACTAAAAAAAAAAAAAAGAAAACAGTACCAAAATTATTGGTTGATCATATCAGAGAAACTCCTTTATGTACTCTATATGACTGAAATACTGCCCTAAATGTACTTATGAGTATAAAGATATGGATCCTACAAGAACAAAGAACAAGAGGGAAAAAAAAAAACAATCACAGAAGAAAGAGTTTCAAAGAAATCAATGGTTTTGCTTTTCTCTGTAAAGATCATTTATGAAATAAATGAATAAAGGATGAAAGATTCTAAAGAAAGTGTGGTGTTGTGTTGATGGGAGGTAATACAAGATAATTTTATTTTACGACCTGAGTTGATAATGCAACTCGCTCACCCTTTGAGCACTATCCTTTCCTCAGTTGATAGAACCAAATTATCTTGAATTTATAAAGTAGTTTTCTTCCACTACAAAACAACACTTAGTAAGCAACTTCTGCAATACCTGGAGGAGGTAGCCCAAAATGGCAAATTTTTCATGATGGTTAATTTTTTTTTTTTTTTTTAAGTGTTTAAGACTGTTTAGTGCAAGACTTTCATCGCTCAAATAATCTCTTTTCACCTCTATCTGTATAGCGACAATACAGTACTAACCTTGTTCAAACGTCCAGTAAGGTTAACAACGATCTTGCCTGATCTGTGATCATCCACAATTTCAAATTCACCAATATAACCTGAGACGAGCAAAATAATACACAAAAACATCAGTTGTGATAGTAAAAGATTATATACACTTGGGGTGTCAAAAAACCACACACACTCACACATGCCCATTATGCTGTGTGGCACGTAGGGCAGCATTTTTCCATTTCCGTAACATGGGTGTTTTACAGGACAGGGTTGTTAGCCCTGTGCCCAACCCCCTAATCTGGAGGACCAGTGGATTGCACTTCATTAGACCTCTACCCTTCGACCTATCAGGCTTGGATAGCCCTACCAGGAGACAAACCTCCCGCCAGCATAGTTCTAGGGGTCTCCAAGACACTCAAGCCTGCTGACCACGACAAGGTGGCGATCCTTCAAGGGAAAAAAACCATACAGAGGGATACAATTCCCACTTTCCCACCACAAATAATATTTTATATTGTTATGCATCAAAATCTATCATATGGTAAAAAGTGCTCAACAAAATATCTCCAACCACAGTTCTTGGCCAAATTGTCAAAATACTGCGCGATGAGAATTTACATGTACTCCTACAGGTCGTAACCAGGCCGTTCATCTGACCTAGCTGATAGAGAAGAACAGTTTGAAAGCTTGGGTCAAAATTGACACTTTTCTGTGAAAAATCAAATAACGAGAAAAGAACCAAGAGATATGCGAAGGCCATAAGACTGGATTACCTTTAAACTACCCTTGCTGTATTTATATGCAGTATAACCACGTGTTCGAGGAACATTAATGGTAGATTTCTTAAATGCTACTTTGGGGAAAAAACAAAGTTTCGAGTCACTCACCGTGTTTCATCATCACGGTTAAAAACTTGATTATAACCTTCGAGGAGGGCCGTAGAAGAACCTGACGCTTTCCTCGTCTTTCAGCATTGCATATGGAATTGAGAGCGTCGCTTAATACGTTAATTCGCACCATGTTGAATCCTATGATAGAAAACACTTTCGTGTCAGCAGAAGCGTCAAAACAAATCCCATAAAAAGCAGCATTCGATGAAAAAGTAAAAAAATAACGACACAGAACTCAAGAAGAGTTCTTGCTTTATTCAGAGAAGGAGAAAAATATGGGTATTCGCCATTTCAGTTGCGGATGAAGGCAGATTTTTGAGAGATCTTACTCATACCTAGGTGGAAGTTTGCGATCGCAAGAGAGAGAGAGAGAGCATTTTAGAGCCTAGACCATAATACAATTCCCGGTTGCCTCGGTTTGAAGTCATGTCCAGTTTCCAGGCGCGGTTCACAGCGGAGCGCGGGTAAACAGAAATCAACAAATGGCTCATCTGAGCTCTCAAGTTTATTAGTGTCAATATTTGAGCTCTATTTAAGGATGTTAAGTTTATCAGATGTACTCTACGTGTAGATGGCAGAATCTTTTCGTTAGCCAGGAACAACGAGGGTTTTTAACTACCTAGCTTCACTACAACTGCAAATGTATGGTTGATCGATGGCCTCTTGGGAAAACATATTTAAGTTATTGTAGTTCACTTGGGAATTTATTCGAATTTGGTTTTCATCACTGGAGAAATAGATGGATGACTGATTGGTAAAAAAAGGTTGACAAGGGATTTTTCAGTCATGATCTGTACAGTTTAACTGTTTTGAGAGAAGTTGTATCACTGTTGTTAGCGTGACTTTTTAAGGTACTGGAAATAGACGTGAATGTCTTACAATGTTTACAAGAGAAAAAGTGAAAGTTGACCCAGCCAAAATCACTAACAAGAAAGGAAGAAAGGGAAAAAGTTCCAAAGCAGCTTGGGAGACGCTTCTTTCTGGCTCCCAAAATGATTCTTCAGGAAACATTAATGGTAGATCACCTTCCCCAGACAAGAGGAATGGATACAAGCATGTGCAATGGTCTGATGATGATGACGATGAAGAAGATGACTATGATAAATATAACTCATCCATAACGCCAAATGCTTCTCTAAACTTTTCTGGTGATCGATCACAAAGTTTTGAAAGCTTGTGGCGGGCTGCAGCTAATGGAAGATCCAGTTCATCTTTGAACAGAAGCTTTGAATCTCAACGCATTCCCATCTCTGACTTTCAGGTGCATACTGGCCAACCACCAATACCCAAAGAAATTGTTGCTAAAATACGAGAAGGAAGATATATCAACTTTCAGGAAATTCTTCCAGAAAACCTTGAAAGAGAAACTACTGACAGCTACAAATCCATTGATGAGACTGAAAGAGTGGATGACATTACTAAATGGACTGATTGCATGGCTGCTTATATTGCAGTGTTTACATGTGATCATCCCAATCGTATAAGAGACTTATTGGCATATCAGGGTATTATAACTAAGTTATACCGTGAATGCCAAGATAAGAGAGCTTGGCAAAGGTATGATGTAGCATTCAGGCGTAAAGCATCCCAGAATGAACTGAAGAACTGGAGCACAGTGGATGAGAACCTTTGGATTATGGCATCATCTAGGGATGCACGAAGAGCTGTCCTTTGCAAGGCTTGTCTTTCTTTGGCTCATGATCAAGCTTCTTGTCCATTTGTTCCCAAAGAGGAATCTTCAATAAAGCGGCACTCTTGGTAAGGTTTAATTATCAAATGAAACCTGTTTTAGATTTAATAATTGCAAATCAATTCACCATCATAATTTGAAGTTAATAATAGAATATTTGTCAAAAACTTTGAAAGAATTCCTAGAGGTTAAAAATGTTTCCTGAGAAAGAAGCTTGAAGAAAACTCTGAACTTTTCAAGTGCATGACAAAGCATTTATGTGAAGCTTAACAGCAAAATGCTTTCAGTGTAAGCTGTTCATTTGTTTAATATGTGACTCATAATTTTAATTGCTTCATGAAAGGTTGTCTAAGTCTGCAAAGAGAGAGACAGTGTCAGAGGAAGAGCGTCCACGATCAGTCAGTCCAACAAGAGGAAAGAGGGGTCCTAATGAAGGCCTTGATCTCAAATTTGCATTTGGGTATGTTGGCAATATCTAGTTTTTTTTTTAGAAGAAACTGCTTTCTAATATTAGTTGAGAGATTTCTGTAGATATCAAGCCAGAGTGCACAACAGATTGGTTGACACATTATTTTCTTTAGCCAGTATCAAGTGAATATATGGAAAAGAACTTCAGAATTTATTA